CTTTTTTTCAACCTTGCCCCAACAGATTCCTTGTAAAAGAGAAACCTGCAAGTGTTATACATTCCAACCTTTACACTAGCAATTTTCCCTGCGATGAAGACAACGATCAGTTAGGATGCTCAGTTTTCATAAAGACAAAAAGAAGATCACAAAATTGCCCCATCTATTGAGGATCAGATCTTCTTGAAGATAATGGAACAAGGATTCTACAAAAATGATGCAAACAGCTGGGTAGCTCCCCAGCCTTTCAAAACACGGAGACCGTGCCCTCCTAACAACAGACTACAGGCTCTAAAACGCTTTTCTGCTCTCAGGCACAATTTTCAAAGGAAACCAGAAATGAAAGAGCATTTCTTCTCATTCATGAGCAAGATGTTTGAAGACAGCCATGCAGAGGTGGCCCCACCTTTGAAAGAGAAAGAAGAGTGCTGGTACCTACCTATTTTCAGTGTTTACCACCCCAAGAAGCCAGGGAAAATCCAAGTAGTATTTGACTCCAGCTCCCAGTACGAAGGAATCTCTCTCAATGACATCCTCTTAAAAGGACCAGATCTCAACAACACACTTCTTGGTGTTCTCAACAGATTCCGCAAGGAAGCCATCGCCATAGTTGCTGACATACAACAAATGTTTCACAGTTTTCAAGTCAAGGAAGAACACAGGAACTTTCTGAGATTCTTCTGGTTTAGGGATAGCAACCCCACTGAAGACATTACAGAATACCACATGAAAGTGCATGTTTTTGGCAACAGCCCATCGCCATTTTGGACTTAAGCTATCTGCCCAGGACGGTGAAAAAGACTATGGGCAAGATGTTAGACAGTTCATTGAGAGAGACTTTTATGTAGATGATGGCCTGAAGTCACTTCCATCGCCTAAGGCTGCAATCAGTCTTCTTAAGAGGACCCAAAGCACACTTGCCTGTTCAAACCTTAGGTTACATAAGATAGCTTCAAACAGCAAGGCTATTATGGAAACCTTCCCTTCTCAAGATCAGGCCAGTGATTTGAAAGACCTAGACTTGGCAACAGACTTAATACCCATACAGCGCAGCTTAGGACTCAATTGGGATCTCAAGTCTGACACCCTTACCTTCCAGGTCGACCAGGAGCCAAAGCCTTTCACAAGGTGAGGTGTCTTGTCTACCATAAACAGTCTGTACGACCCACTCGAGTTTGCAGCACCTGTGACCGTCCAAGACCGTAAAGGACTGTTGAAAGTCGGAGGGCTCATTTCCAACGCAAGACTTGAAAGTGTTGAAATCAATCCAGTAGCAATCCCAAATCACCATGTTTCTTCACTTCTTGTGGAACATTACCATGTACAGACCAAACACCAAGGGCGTTTGTTCACAGAGGGAGTCTTACATGCAGCCAGACTCTGGATAATGGGAGCCAAGAGACTCGTGAGTACAATTATTTTCAAATGCATCACTTGCCATAAGCTTCGTGGCATGTTTCAAACTTAGAAAATGGCTAACCTCCCTGCAAACCGACTCAGCACAGAACCTCCATTCACAAATGTTGGTCTCGATGTATATGGGCCCTGGGCTGTCATCACACGGCAAACTAGAGGAGGCAGTGCCAACAGCAAAACGGGCTGTCATGTTCACTTGCATGTGCACCAGAGCTGTACACATAGAAGTCATTGAGTCCTTAGACACATTCAGCTTTATAAATGCCCTCACACGCTTCACTTCGATTAGAGGCCCCGTCAAACATATTCGCTCCGATAGAGGTACCAACTTTGTCAGAGCTTGCAAAGAATTGAATATAATTTCAAACCTTGACAAAGAACGTGTAGAGAGACACCTTTCAGAACAAGGTTGTATGTGGACATTTACCCCACCACATGCTTCCCATATGGGAGGTGCTTGGGAGCGCATGATCGGCATAGCTAGAAGAATCCTAGACTCAATATTTCTATAGTTAGGAACTTCAAGGCTCACACATGAGACACTGACTACCTTCATGGCTGAAGTAGTGGCTATAATAAATTCCAGACCCCTGACATCAATACCCAATGACCCAGAAGATCCTTTCTTGCTCACCCCTTCCACTTTGCTTACCCAGAAAGTTGGAGTAACCACAGCTCCTCCAATCAACCTTGACACTAAAGACCTATACAGATGCCAGTGGAGACAAGTGCAAGCCATGGCGGACATCTTCTGGAATAAGTGGAGGAAGCAGTACCCATCCTTTCTACAGATCAGACACAAATGGCAAATCAGCAAGCCCAACTTGGAACCTGGCACCATTGTTCTCGTGAAAGACTCTCAGTTAAGGAGAAACGAATGGCCTTTGGGCCTGATAACCCAAGTGTTTCCAAGTAAAGATGGGAAAGTCAGGAAAGTTGAGGATAAGGTCATTAGGCAAGACGAGTCTAAACTTTTCCTCAGACCTGTGTCTGACCTAATTGTACTATTCTCCCCAGAAGGACCATCATAGTTGGCAACCATGGGATACCAGGCGGGGAGTGTCATGCCTTCCACATATTTTTTATGTTATGTCCATTGTTAGTTTATTATGATATGGAATGTAAGGTAAAGTGTAATATCACCATCTAGTGGCTCTTTTGTATTACAGTTTTATAGATTAGTTTCTGTAGTTACACATTTTGTTGCTTAAAGGCCACCGTAGTTTTCCCATCATCCTACGGGCTTCACCATGAGGTCTTAGAGACATCTCCTAGCAGCCATCTTTACATCTCCTCCAGAGGACTCCACACATGTCCAGCTGCAGTCTGTTGTCAGCCTATCGAAAACATTGCCGGTATGTTTAAAGACCCCTTTCTAGCTAGACTAGTGTGTCAGGACTGTATATTTTGTAGATTTATATATACTGACTGAATGTTATTTCATTTGTAGTTTTAGTCTAACTTCCCTGCAATAAAAGTTGAAAAGAGGATCTAGCGCCTGAATCAATGAGTTGTTAAGGAGAGTTTATCTGTCTGTCTAATTATACTCGCACCACGTATAGTGAGGGCAGAACACAAACATTCAGGAGGCAGCAGCATCACCTCCTGCACTAACAGTGGGGGGTCTTAAAGGGGCAATATATTTAGTGTGCATTAAGTACAGAGTGCAGCATTAAGGTGTGAGCTACATACAGTGCAGGGTTCAGGGGTGTGCTAAATACAGGATGCAGAGTACAAAAGGTGTCCCCTTTTCTCCAAAATCGCCCTCTCCCCTAGTACAGCGCTCTACTCCCAACCCCAAATCCCTCTCCTTGATAGTACCTGATAGAGAACTATGGCTGCAGATGAATAGGACAGGTTACTCAGGAGAAGAGTGTAGTGTAGCTGTGAGGCACATGGGCAAAAGTTTCAGGAGCTGTTGCCACCAGACATGCACAGGGTTCCAACTATCTATCTATGCAGAGAGACGGCAGAATAAGCAAAGCTGAGATCACTTTACAGCGGAAACTAGAGGAGCAGGATATGAAAACGTGGCCACCTGTTCCTTCCGCTGCCAGCTCCAGCCTGCTTCTATTTAAAAATATTCCCAATTGGCTCCATACTTTGCCTGGATAAGTGGCTACTGGTGCTACATTAAGCAGTCAAGGGATTTATTTCTTATACTTGCCTAGCCAACACTAACCTACCTACTGATTTTTAGTGACACAAACTTTCTCTAATGGACATTTACTAACAGATGTAAAAATCACATTTTTACAAACTGACATTAAGTTTACTGACAGTTGGCAACCCTGCATTGGACTCCACAGAGGACCTATGATCCTGACAGAGGAAAATGAACTGACATCTCTACACCATGTTAAAGACGCATCATTATTCTATACCTCAGGTGAGGCGTTTCCCTCTTGATTTAAATATCTGGCTACTCTTAGAAGCACTCCCCTTTTGTTCTTTTTTTTTATTTTTACATTTCTTCAAATGACAACTGTCTAAGAAGGGAAATTCCCTCAGTTTTGAGATATTTCCTCTTTAACCTCTGCACGACCGCATGCCCGCAAAGTTCTGCAGACGGACAGGGCAGCCGCTGTAAAAAAAAAAAAGCTGCCTACTTCCGGGTTTTGGGCGCGCTCCCCTGCCGGCACCCGCTATGATTGTTAACAGCAGGAACCTGTCAGGAAGTCCAGGCCAATGATTAATGGCTTGCTGATTGGCTGTGTAAAACACAGCGTTCAGTACAGAGGGAGTGACCTGTAAGTGTCTCATCCCTGCTTTGAAACGTAATAATTTAGTAAAATCAGCACACTTTACACAAAGTACACAGTTAGGCACACTTTAACCCCTTGATCAATAACCCCTTGACAGTGCCATTAGTACAGTGAATTATCACTGATCATTGGATTCATTTCACTGGTGATGTCAGTGGCAGTTAGTCAGTGTCAATTAATGTCAAATTGCCCACCATACTCCGGCAGTCCCATTATAAGTCGCTGATCGCCATTAAGTAGCATTTAAAAAAAAAATTCCAGTATACATACCACAGCAATCAATATACACTTATTGGGATTTTTACATGTTTTAATACAAAATATTTTTTTTTTAATCTTTTTTTTGCTCATATCGCAAAACATAAAAAAAAAAACAAAACAAAAAAAAAAACAGTGGTGATCAAAAACCACCAAAAGAAAGCTCTATTTGTGAGGAAAAAATTATATAAATTTAATTTGAAGAGGGTAAAATCTTCCAGAGCTGCAGTCTAATATCGCAACATTGGGGGTCCTAACAATTACCTATTCTATTCAAAACTAAAAAAAATTGGCTTTACATACATTTTAAGTGGCCAGGGGGTATGGAGCACAAACTCTATACAACTACTTGGGAATTGTGGTGAACATGTGTGAGCCTGGTAGAGAAAGTTCTGACAAAAGGCTGTGCCAGGAATAAAAAATGTATGCTTTACTATGCTACAATTTTTACTTAACAAAAATTGTTCTGCAAAACTTTCCCAAGAACAAAAGAAATAACAATCAAAAGCTTTAACTATTCTCATCATTTAATCATCAAGTTGCATAGATACTTTCACATACCATAGGATTTGATCAAAGCTTTCAGTTGGACAAGAATCTGTTCCAGTTCATAATCCAGGATGATATGGCAAACCAGGTAATCATCTCGGAGCACCGAATAACAACAGGTATGCAAAATCTCTGTGATGCTACACTTGAACAAGCTGCTTAGCTTCTCCTCTGCAATTAGTTAAGAAAAAAAACAACATTTATACATAAGTATTTTGTTCTTTGTATTGCTTCCTTTGTGTGATATACCTGGTGTTCCTGTTAGTCCCTCTAATTTCCTATTATAAACAGATCACACTAGGCAGGACAAAACAATGTGGTCATTTCTCTAGCTATGCTGGGAACTCGGTCAGCTCTTCTCCAATGAACACATTTGTAATGACACATCCCCTTGCACAGCCTTTTACTGGAAAGATCAGTGTAATTTTGTTTCTTCTCCCTCATCTCTTATGCAGCTCAGAATAAAGGGAATGTGATTATTTGTAAAAGATAGGAAGAAAAGTGTATGTATATGTGTGTATATATATATATATATATATATATATATATATATATATATACATACACACACATACATATATATATATATATATATATATACACACACACAGTTGTGTTTAAAATAATAGCAGTCAGACATCACTAACCTGATCACTGTTTTTGGTAGAAATGATATTTCTACATGGCAAATAATTTACTAGCAGGTGTAGTAGAGTGATAGAAATCCAACAGACCCAACAGTCATGACATGCATGCTGCTGATTCTGTGTAATTGAATCACTAATTGAAAGGGGCATGTTCAAAATAATAGCAGTGTGGAGTTCTATTAGTGAGGTCATTCATTCTTTGAAAAACAGGTGGCAATTATTGCCCTTATTTAAGGAAGGAAGGCAACAAATGTACATGCTGGTTACAGTGCATTTCTCTCTGAAATTCTGAGGAAAATGGGTCATTCCAGACATTGTTCAGAAGAACAGCGTACATTAAAGTTGATTAAAAAGTTGATTGGAGAGAGGAAAACAAAAGTGCAGAAAATGATAGGCTGCTCAGCTAAAATGATTGCAAATGCTTTAAAATGGAAACCAAAACCTGAAAGATGTGGAAGAAAGCAAAAAAACTACCATTCAAATGGATAGAAGAATAGCCAAAATGGCAAGGATTCAGCCAACAATCAGCTCCAGGAAGATCAAAGAAGGTCTAAAGTGGGGTACAACCAGTCTGTCGGATTTTACATGCAATTATTGCTAGCATCTGGTATAGCTGCTAGCAATAATCACCGTGTTCTCTCGCGGGGACGGCTTCCCCCACCAGGAGAACACAATGACTCTGCGGGAGGGATTCCCCTGTTTACACTGACTGTGTTGATGGTGGAAATTAAGCAATTTCCTTTCCTGCAACCCGTGGTTACAGGAAAGAAAAAGGTTCTATGGCCAGCCTAATGCCAACAAATTTCAAACCCCAAGTACAGTACCCCATCGGTTTAAAAATGTGAAAGGTGTATAATGGAAGCCAGATTAGGGTAGGTCATAGTGGATGAAAAGGATATAGGTGTGATGAAGATAAGCCAGAAAAGCTTTATACAGGAGCACTGCGGTCCACAAAAACTGCAAACTATATAGCTAAAATTAAAGATAGACTTGAAATTTTCCACCAAATATATACAGCAACTGGAGATTTTGTGAGTATTAACAACTTCAACAAGTAAAAGATCTACAAAATTGTGAAGATAGTATAAAAAAAAAAAAAAGCTAGTATATACACTTATCTGAAGGAGGTAAAACTCCTTACGGTATCTGAGGAAGCTAAAAATGACTTGGACAGGGAAATCACCAAGGAGGGAGCAGAAACAGAAATTAAAGGTTGTTTTTTTTTAAGTTTTTTTTATTCTGTATTTCTTTATTTAATTTAAAGAAAAGAAAAAGACAAATGCAGACACAAATCAGTGATAAAGCTCAAGTACAGGTGTTGCTACAACATCATATTGAAGTAAGAACAATACCTATTCTTCTGAGCAAGTGGTCTCCAAACTGTGGCCCTTTGCTTCTTTTTATCTGGCACTTGTGGCACTATTCCTCCCATTGATATGAGGCACTCATATCCCACTGACACAAACAATGAGGCACCATTCCTTCCACAAAAAAGGGGCACGTTTCCTACCACTAATACCAATGATGAGGTACTATTCCTCCTATTGACACCAATGAGGGGGAACCATTCCTCCCAATGATAGCTATGATAGGGCACCATTCCTACCATTGACACCAATGACGGGCACCATTCCTCCCACAAAAACTAATTATGGGACACTTATTCTCCTCCTACTGACCACCAAGCCTGGGGCATTTTTTACTCCCAATGGGCACAGTCCAGCCCCCCTAATGTCTGAAGGACAGTAAACTGGTCCTTTGTTTTGAAAGTTTGGGAACCCCTGATTTGAGCTGTAAGGTGCACCATCTACTGTACATTATCACTATGTGGAGGATAGACCACAAAATGATATATCCCACAACACGGTGTCATATTATCAAAACAATGAGTGATAACTGTAAAAAGCAAAATTAAGAGAAGTAAAGTTGTTGAAATATAAGAGGTAAACCTGAAAATAGGTTCCAGTGTATAGTGTATACTGTATGTGATGTACTTTGCTCATATAGTAGTCTGTAGTGTGTTGATTATTGTGGTAAAACAAAACAGTTTGTTAGGAGGCTTAGGGGAAGGGATGCCTCAAGATAAAGATATGCATCTAGCTTCTTATAGCCAAGGTTGCCATATTCAGTCTGATTGCCAAGATTCAATTGTTGGTAGTTTAGCTGGTTGATTGCGCTTCTAAAGTAGGAGTAGGAACCTTAGATAGATGGCGATCTACCTGAACAAGGGAGAAGTCAAAGATAACCGGGCAGAGTGTCATCCAATATTGCCTCCTCACCGCCTCATTTACCCTACTGTACTATTGTGCTTAGATCTGCCCACAGCTTCCCACACACAGTTAACCTTCCACTGCCTGGCCAGCTTGGGTACACTCTGCTTGTTGCAACACTACACTCCACCTCTCTGCTAAGGCAGGGATACAGAGAGGCAGAGTGCTGCTACTACCAGTCTGCCTTACACTGCTGGAACTATAGAAGCAGCAGCTGATATGCCGCCCGCCCTCTCGTCGGCACCTCCGCCACAAACATATAGTCCCACTGCTTCCATACGACTGAAGGTCGGCAAGCCGACACTGCAATCTACCAGTCACCTGGTGGGGATTGACTGGTAGCCTGCGATCGAAGGGTTTGCCGATCCCCGTCCTAAAGTAAGTTGTAAAAAGCTGATATATGGTTGCTGGAGTGTGATTGACTGTACAAGGTCCCAGGTTTGAGCAACATCATACTCAGAGGGAGCCTGGAAAAGTCCTGTATGAGGTTTACACACCTCCCAGGCTCCTCTCATACACTTTTATAGATCTGATTCCTTGTCCAGTTCAGGTTGTGCACCCCTCCCTTTTGACAATTTAGGATCACCTGAAACTCAATCGGTGCTCAGAGTCTGGGGAACAGACAGGCTGTGTCTGTTAGAGGTTGGTGAAAGCAAACAAGCTATGTATGTGGAGGCTGACACCCTGATAGTCAGGATATTTGTGTATGTAGTTCGTCCAGAGACGTGGATAGGATTTTGTTTTTCTGGAAGTTAACTTTTCTGGTTTACCTCACTATACAGCAGTTGTAAATGGAGTTGTAAATAGCACAAATAAACACACCACTGTTTACTACTATTCCATAAGACTGGTATCTGTGCCTGAAAGTGTGATCACCCCAGAGAGCTTTTATACCTGCTATCTATGCCCAGATCATACAGTGGAATCGTGAAAGCATATGTCTAAGCCCAAGTAATTTATAGAAGTGTTGCAGGAAATAGGTAGTTGAGGGTTTTCGAAAGGTTTAAAAGGTGCATGTCTGAATAAAACCTTTAACTTGTGTTCACATATGCATGGGGCCGGTTTGCAGCGCAATATCAAGCCCCGTCTGGTGCGATTTCGTTCAGCAGTTCAGGTGAGAATTGTTATACTGTACGAAAATCGTACCGGACTCCTTAAATCACACTGCGGCTGGTCCGCACATATGTGAACCAGCTCCGTAGAAAAGGCTTTTGGTTCACGTCATGAATCAGATGTAGTTCAAAACTCATCCAATTCGCTTATACGTGAGACCTGCAGCTCTACTGCACTTTGCCATACACGTCTATTATCTTGTGGGTGTGGCGCACTGTCAGAAAGCGCACCAAACCTGCAGGATATAATAGATGTTTATGGCTCAGTGCAGCTAACCCGCAGGTGCATCCTTTTTTTTCTCTTCCAGCTTTAGTTAGTATTGCTCTCCAGGCTGCTAGAAATGTCCCAGGTGAAGTGCACTTGGTATCACTCTGTGGGGAACAGGAGCCAGCGCTATTGAGGAAATGTATGTGGCTCCTGCTTTCTGTGCAGCTGCCTGCTTCCTCCACTGCTGGCGCCGGCATGATGCACTCTGATGTACTGGGATGGTGGGTTGCCAAGCAGATCGCGATCAATGAGTTACCGACCCTGGGCATCAGAGGGCTTCAAGGGCCACAGGTTGAGGTCTAGGGCTTGAGCATCAATTTGTAGCAAAGAAGTAGCTGGAGGAATAGACTGCCACTGTTTATACTGGACTAGAAGGGTGACCTTATAGTATTTTTTAATATCTGGAGCACCCATACCAGAAGCCCTTGTGGGGGCACACAGGATAGTTTCAGATACATGGTCTATTTTTACTACAAATAAAGTTACTGAAAATAGACTGAATATGATGAAGTTGCATCAGGTGGATTGGCACCCAAAAGGGGAAGTCCTGCTTTAAGGACTGCTCCCCCACTTCCCATTAAGGATTGGCACCTTGGGGGGGCGGGGGAGGAGCAGGTACCCGAATTTGACAGGTACCCACTCCCACTTCCGGTCTGATCTCTTAGGCGATTGGAAATGGAAGGTGTCCTCCCTCCCTGTAGTCTTTTCGGACACGTGACAGGTCCCAGAAGACTACAGCACCATTCACGAAGTGCAGCGCTACTCGCGCATGCACAGTGGGTTCCCGGCTGTGAAGCCACAAGCTATCACAGCCGGGTGCCCACACTGAAGATGCCGGCCTCCAGGAATACAGGACGGCCGGTGAAACGGGCTGGGGGGGGGGGGGCACACACCACGGGACAGGTAAGTGGCTGTTATTTAAAAGTCAGCAGCTACAGTTTTTGTAGCTGCTGACTTTTATTTTTGACAAGGTGAGTAGAACTCCGCTTTAATATCCATATTTAGGAAGGAGATAGATCTGTAGTTAATGGGATTATTCAGATATTTTCGTGGTTTGGGGATGATGACTATGAGTACTTCAAGGTTTTCTTAGGAGAGTTTCTCGTGCACACAATGTGATTAAACATATTGTTCAGGTGGGGCAGGCAGTATTTGGAATAAGGTTTCTAATATTCAAGACTAAACCCGGCGGACCCAAGAGATTTATGTAAGGGTAGGGATTATCTTTTTAATTATCGTTTCTGTTAACGGAGTGAACAAAGTTGCAAGTTAATTAGGGTCCAAAGTCCAGAAATTGCTGAAATTCACTGGGTGATGGGGTTGTTTGCTCAGGTAAAGAGTTGAGGTTATATAGTTGAGAGTAAAATTCACTGAAAAGGTTGGCAATTTTACAGGGATTTGTTACTTTTTCACCTTTATGATTGCAAAGAAATTACATTTTCGTCTTCGCAAGTTGGCGTTTATGTTGTTTAGCCTATAAGGGCCGTTTTTATTTCCCTGAGAGTACGAGGCAAGTTTGAGTTTTTTAATATAGTAATTGTTTACATCCACAGCTCCATAAAAGGACAATGCATGGTCCAATCGTGTCCGCCTGAAAAACAGACAGGCTGGCCAGATCAGTCCACCTGTGTGAAAAGGCTGTAAGGGGGATAGAGGTGTAATGGTAAAAGTAATAAGAGGTAGCTGGAGCAAAGGACAAGATTAATAAGTAGTGAGGGCCAGATCAAATAGGGTGTATAGGGTTCTTTTGTAAATGTATTCTTGTTAGTTTACCTTACCATGCCTCGCCCCCACCCACGTGTCATGTCTGCATGTATAAGTATTACATTTGTGTTGTAGGTTTCTTTTCTTATAGTAAATTAAACTACTAGAATAAAAAGAAAAAAAAAAAAGAGATAAGCAGCCATTTACCTAATTCAGTCTGTGCCTGAAGTACACTTGGGTAATTTATGAGTTTATTCATTTGCTGAAGAACAGCCTGGAAACCTTTAATACCTTCAGAAAGTTCCATAACTATATCTACTCTCCGTCCTGCAAAACAAACAAAGTGTATTTACCCATACATATACAAATAACTATACAACATCTAGAGCAACACAGGCAGAAATGTTTGACTAATTGAAAAACAATCAGTTCTTGTTCACATATGATATACACAGATCAGTCATAACATTTGGATCACTGACAGGTGAATAATGTTCTCTTGTTACAGTGGCATCTGAAAGTTGGTGGGATACAGTTGCAAGAAAAAGTATGTGAACCCCTTGGGATTACGTGGAGTTTTGCATGAATTGGGCATAAAATGTGCTCTGAACGTCATCTAAGTCACAACAATAGAAGAACACAGTCTGCTGAACATAATACTAAACAAACATTAGATGTTGCCATGATTTAATTGCACATAACATGTAAACATTCACAGTACAGGGAGGAAAAAGTATGTGAACCTTTGGACTTAATAACTGGTTGACCCTCTGTCCACAGTATATTTTGCCAGTAGTGCTGTGGAACATCCAGGTGCTCTTTTGCAAACTTCAAACATGCTGAAATATTCTTTTTGGACAGCAATGGCTTCCTCCGTGGTGTCCTCCCATGTACTCCATTCTTGTTTAAGGTTTTCCTTATTGTAGATGTGTCAACAAAAATGTTAGCATGTGCCAGAGATTTCTGTAGGTCTTTAGCTGACACTCTGGGATTCTTTTTTACCTCATGCAGCATTCTGCGCTGTACTCTTGCAGTCATTTTTACAGGACGACCACGCCTAGGGAGAGCAGCAAAAGTGCTAAACTTTCTCCATTTGTAGACAGTCTGTCTTACCGTGGACACATGAACATCAAGGCTTTTGGAGATACTTTTGTAACCCTTTCCAGCTTCATGCAAGTCAACAATTCTTGATCGTAGGTCTTCTGAGAGCTCTTTTCTGCGAGGCGTGGTTCACATCAGACAGTGCTTCTTGAAACCAGTAAACCCAAAACAGGTGTGTGTTTTTTAAGGTATGTACTCTCCAGCGCCTCAGGATATGCACAGCCAAAAGGGAAGCCAAGGGTACCAGGACAGCGACAACCAAAGGAAATGTTCCAGGGGTGCAGCCCTCCTCAGACGGGGAAATCAGCCACTGGATAGAGAGAAAACAGGTGGCGCACACACCTAGTGCATTATCCAAGGTTTATTGTAGGAATGAGATAATAAAAACATACTCACAGACAAAGCATGTATCTAAAAAGCATAGAAAAATGACAATGGCCACAACGGCAGGCAAGGTGTTCTCACTGTCAGTGCGGTCATTTCGCGTTTCGGGGACGAATCCCTTTCCTCAGAGCTGATGACCAACCTCTGATGCTGATGTATGATGTATGGACAGAAAGAGCCTCACTGTTGATGCCTCAGACTGCTGGGAGATTCAAAGCGACCTTCATCTCCCACACTGGGGGAGGACTATGACGACACTGCTGTCAGTCACACAACACAGGTGATTTAACCTCACAAAGGATAAGGCACTATTGTGGCTCTTTCTTACATGGTTTCCCAATATACTGGGAGGAGGAAATACCACTCAAACCATCCCTAATTATCCATTGAGGCTCAGTGTGGAAGGAGGAATAAGGGAGACCTCTGGTGGCAGGAAAATGGCAATATAAATCCACGGCATGGATGGAAATATATATATAGCATGAAGATTACCACCCAGTCCTGATAGGACAAAAGTGTTGTTAGCCACTTTGTTTGGCTAATTAAGGAGGTGAGCGCACACCTATCTATAGAGCACGGGGAGTGTGTCACAACACTGTATTTGTCACTGAAAAGAATTAAAGCACAAAGAGGACTAGTTATGAATTTATTTTTGAGTATTTAAGTAGTAATATATTTGAAAAGCAAAAAAACACTGCACTGATTTGAAGCACAAAAGTTTTTCACATCACTATTTATATGAACACTTGTATATGATTGTATGTTTATATTATGGAGCGCAGCACCTGTATATGTATTTGAATATATATACATTTTTATATACTTTGTTTCACACAGATAATGAGTATTGTGTAAAGTGTTGATGCACCATAATTTGATGAAATAGTTTGTTAATCAATTTATTGCACAAGGAGAGTATCACATTTTGGCTCACGAGTACTATTAATTTCATCAGTGTGAAGCTTTGTTCTGCTGCAAACTATTGGTCCTGCCATTTATGTGGATGTTACTTTGACATGTACCACCTACCTAAACATTGTTGCTGACAAGTATATCCCTTCATGAAAATTGTATGCACTGGTAAAGTGACCTCTTTCAGCAGGATAATGCACCCTGCCACACTGCAAAGATGGTTCAAGAATGGTTTGAGGAAATCAACAAGATTGAAGTGTTGACTTGGCACCCAAGTTTTCAAGATCTCAATCCATTGGGAGTCTCTGGGATGTGCTGGAAAAACAAATTTGATCCATGGAGGAACCAGCTTGCAATTTACAGAACTTAAAAGTATCTGGAGCCAGATACCACAACATACCTTCAGAAGTCTAGTGGCATCCATGCCATAATGGGTCAGAGCAATTTTGGCAGCAAAAGAGGCTGTTTTGGTGGTAAAAGGGGAACCTACTCAATATTAGGAGGGTTACCTTCTCAACTCACGTTCACCTACTGTCGAGCCCCAAACATTAAGAGCCAGGTAGTTCCTAGCATACTAAAGAGAAAAGAGTGCATCCCCAGTACACAGTACAAGGTAATCCTTTTTCCACTTTGATAGACATCTACAAATGCCACAAGAAAAAATGCCCGACATGCCCTTTTGTACCGAATGGTCTCAAGTCATTTACCACTAATGGGAAAGAATACCCTATTGCCAGATTTTACAACTGTTCTACAGATTTTGTGATCTATGCTCCCATCTGCCTTTGTGGCATAGTGTATAGATAGGTAGAACCATTCAGAAAATGGAGAGTCAGATTTGGTGAGCAGACGCGCTATTGAGAAAGGGGGCAGTAGGTATAGCGTGCCTGTAATTCCTATGAAATGTGTTGGCCTTGGACCCTTTGTTTCTTGGGTAATTTTTACAATAAAGCATTGTTGCCCAAACGCTAGTGGCATGAGAGGTGACTTGATGTCATTTCTCTAGGCTAAAGGAACAGAGTCACAAGATGTTCTGCTGAGAGCAAGATAAAAACTTGTTTATGGAAATTGAACGTGTTTATGACATCTAGTATGTCACATTAGAAGATAAAAACCTGTTTAAAGATGTCTACTTGCTTGAGAAGTTAGAAATCCTTAAGTTTGGGGTAGATGAGTAGAAGTTTAGGGCAGATAAGAAGCAAAATGTGAATTTTTAGATAACGAATATGGTGGTTGAACATGACTCTGTTATCCTCCCAGAACCCTTCTGCTAGCTCCTCCTATGGTGGGTGTGGCACCTGCCCACTATTGGACTGCTTCCAGAAAAATGGTTTAAATGCCGGAGGTCCAGGCAAGACCGGTAGGAAGCCCCCCTCCCCCTAGTTGCCAGAGGACACTCTGACGCTTGCATTTTTGCCAAGGCTATATGGGCTCATCAATTGGTCACACCTACAGCTTCTCCGTGACCCCCGGGCAGTATGGTTCCAATGGGATTTCACAGCTCCTAACATAGCTTTGGTAATGTATTAATTCTATGCTGTGACACTGTCAAATGATGTCTATTTCATGCTGTAATGCTCACATGATTATTGGTGTGTGTTATTATGCAGATTATGATGACTATAAGATATAGCCTCCTATGTGTCGTGTGATAATAAAAGTGAAGGTTTTGACAGTGCAAAAATATTGCAGTTGGATTCTGTTATTTCTTGGAGTGCTGAGTGAATGCTATGATGTGCCAGGGCAGATGTTCATTTGGTAGATGGTCTTTCATATGCGTAGAATAAGTAATGCTTTAAATGCTGATTAAAAGGTACAGTTGCAAGAAAAAGTATGTGAACCCCTTGGGATTACATGGAGTTTTGCATGAATTGGGCATAAAATGTGCTCGGAACGTCATCTAAGTCACAACAATAGAAGAACACAGTCTGCTGAACATAATACTACACAAACATTAGATGTTGCCATGGTTTAATTGCACATAACATGTAAACATTCACAGTGCAGGGAGGAAAAAGTATGTGAACCTTTGGACTTAATAACTGGTTGACCCTCCTTTGGCAGCAATAACCTCAACCAAACGTTTCCTGTAGCTGCAGATCAGACCTGTACAACGATCTGGAGTAATTTTGGACCACTCCTCTTCACAAAACTGTTTCAGTGTAGCAATATTCTTGGGATGTCTGGTGTGAATCTCTCTCTTAAGGTCATGCCACAGCATTTCAATCGGGTTGAGGTCAGGACTCTGACTGGGCCACTCCAGAAGGCGTATTCTGTGCTGTTGCAGCCATTGTTTTGTTGAATTACTTGTATGCTTTGGGTCATTGTCCTGTTGCATCACCCATCCACTGCGGAGCTTCAGTTGGCGGACAGATGGTCGTACGTTTTCCTGCAAAATGTCTTGATAAACTCTGAAATTCATTTTCCCATCAATGACAACAATCCATCCAGGCCCTGAGGCAGCAAAGCAGCCCCAAACCATGATGCTCCCTCTGCCATGTTTTACAGTGGGGATGAGGTTTTGATGTTGGTGTGCTGTGCCTTTTTTTCTCCACACATAGTGTTGTGTGTTCTTCCCAAACAACTCAATCTTGGTTTCATCTGTCCAAAGTATATTTTGCCAGTAGTGCTGTGGAACATCCAGGTGCTCTTTTGCAAACTTCAAACGTGCTGCAATATTCTTTTTGGACAGCAATGGCTTCCTCTGTGGTGTCCTCCCATGTACTCCATTCTTGTTTAATGTTTTCCTTATTGTAGATGTGTCAACAAAAATGTTAGCATGTGCCAGAGATATCTGTAGGTCTTTAGCTGACACTCTGGGATTCTTCTTTACCCCATGCAGCATTCTGCGCTGTGCTCTTGCAGTCATTTTTACAGGACGACCACGCCTAGGAAGAGTAGCAACAGTGC